ATTATTTTATTATTTTTTTTACATATACATGGAGTACAGTACTGTATATGTTGCTCTATGTGACTCGCTGTTGTTTTGCAGCTTCTCGCGACCGTTTGCGGACTTTAAAAAAAAAACAATTTTTACCTGTTTATGTTAATTGGACGCTACTTCGCGGATTTTCGTTTATCACGGGTGGTTTTGGTCCCCATTAACCGCAATAAATGAGGGATTACTGTAAATAGGTAGAAAATATATTGTAAGTGTCCATTTGCCATTTTTATGACTGTGATAGTTACTATAACAGATAACTGAGGGTCCTCAGTTGCAAAAGTCTTGACTGACAATATTTCTTGGTTACAAATGCAGCACATTGAACTAGTTAGTGCCATTTCCACTGTGCAACAACCAAAGGAATTGGTTTTCTGACTGTTTAGCATTTGATGATATTTATGACTGAAAAGTGTTTTGCTCCAACTATTGACTGTAATTCTGACTTTAATACTGCGTTGGCCTTGGTTAGTCATGTCAGTGTATTCAGGTTTATCCATCCATCCATTTTCTGATCCGCTTAATCCTCACAAGAGTCGCGGCGGATGCTGGAGCGTATCCCAGCCGTCTTCGGGCAGTAGGCGCAGGACACCCTGATCCGGTTGCCAGCCAATCGCAGGACACACAGAAACGAACAAACATCCGCGCTCACACTCACACCTAGGGACAATTTACAGTGTTCAATCAGCCTGTCATGCATGTTTTTGGAATGTGGGAGTAAATCGGAGTACCCAGAGAAAACCCACGCAGGCACGGGGAGAACATGCAAACTTCACACAGGGAGGCCGGAGCTGGAATCGAACCCGGTACCTCTGCACTGCGCTAACCACAAGACCACCAGGCCGCCTGATTCAGGTTTATGTGAAAAATAGTTTTAAGTGTCATGGGAATGGAATTGTCATAAAAGGACCCCCATAATTAAATGTTGGTTACATTCTAAGGGATTATTGTTTGGACATACCAGGGAAATTACAAATAACCAAATTAAATATTCTGCAAACTTCAGGTGTTGAAAGACATCAGCATGAAATCAATGAAGAATCAACAAACCTGCAGAATCGCCACTGAGGAGGCCGACAGTCGGCTGGACAACTGAGCTGTCCAGAGAACCAATGCCAGCAAAAACCAGTTTGACCAGACTGCGTTTGAATGTCTCAGGCAGGAGGGAGAGCAGGAAGATTGACAGGTAGGCAATGTACCGCATGTGACACAGCACAGGGGTCATAGTCTTCCCCTGGGGAGTCTGTGCCATGCGTTCAATAGTTGGGAACAGCATGACGGCCTTCAGAATCTGTTAAAAAAAAAAAAAAGTAACCTCAGAAGACAGAAATTTCTCAAGAAAGAAAAACAATATTTTTCCATCCATCCATTTTCTGATCCGCTTATCCCCACAAGGATCGCGGTTGGTGCTGGAGCCTATTCCAGCTGTCTTCGGGCAGTAGGCGGGGGACACCCTGTACCGGTCGCCAGCCAATCGCAAGGCACACAGAGACGAAGAGCCATCCGCGCTCACACTCACACCTAGGGACAATTGAGAGTGTTCAATCAGCCTGCCATGCATGTTTTTGGAATGTGGGAGGAAACCGGAGTACCCGGAGAAAACCCACGCAGGCCCGGGAGAACATGCAAACTCTACACAGGAAGGCTGGAGCCGGGATCGAACCCACAACTCCTGTATTGTGAGGTCAACGCCCTAACCACTGGACACCGGGCCGCCCACCCAACAATATCATAATTTCTAATAATTAGTAATTCTATGCACCTTTTCCACTATCAGTTCTACCCCGAAACAGCCTTGTTCCACCCTGTGTGGTCATTTTTCTCATTTTCATTGCATTCATTACTTTTTTTTCAAGGCCGAGTGGTGACAACACAACCATTCTTTCGAGCCTCTTCCAGCAGGGTTCAAGAACGCAAGCTGAGGAGTGCTGTGTGACGGCACCTGCCCGAGGGCGGGCAAGGAGGTAGTTTGCCTCCTCTGTCGTTACCTCCAGAGATCAGCGTGCTTCCGCTTTGCTACACTTGCTTACCAACTGCTTTGGCTCCTCCCTGAAGGGCCTGCTACTTCAGGAGATGACCTGCACCTGGGAGCTGCTGCTCTGCTCAGCACTGTTACCAATCTGCATGTCTTTTGGCAGAAGCGTAGCTCCATCTAGTGGATGCATAACGGAACCGCAGCCACAATTGTCACTTCTATTCTTTGCGCCTTATAATGCGGTGTGCCCTGTATATGAAAACAGTTATAGAATAAGCCATTCATTAAAGGTGCACCTTATACTCCGAAGCATTCCTGGTGGCCTCCTTTGTAATAATGAAATGGACTATTTTATTAATATAACTGGAAATGGACTGGTGTGTTGGAAGTCACCTCACGCAAAATGGCAAGGAATGTGTTCTCCTAAATGTGTACACTCCATATGAATGCCTTCCTGATAAAACATAGTATCTTAATAGGCTTGCTTTTAACAATTTGTATTTTTCAGGCCATACGTTTTGTAATGTGTTTGTTATTGGTGATTTTAATTTAGATATTAGAGACAGTACATTAGTATTCGCTTATCATTTGCATGAGTTTCATGAGGACAATGTTTTTTTTAATACTGTCAACTCTTACCTGCAGATCGTTTTACATACTTTAGTGACGCTTTGCATAAGTACCTCCAAAGTCAAAATTTGGTAAATTTCATATTTTTTCACAAATCTATACTATTGGTGATTCCACATCTGTGTGCTATTTTTACAACTTAATGACCAATCTAAAATGATGACGCCAGCGATATGCAAATGTCACTTAATAGAGGTGTCAATTTATCGCGTTAATTGTGAATAATTAATTACAATCATATTTAGCGCGTTATGTTTTTTAATCGCGTTAATCTAAATTTTAATCTCTAACTTTATTGTTTCTGTAGGTGGGTTGCCTTATTATAATATCCCTTTTCATGTGTTGGCTTCCTGTGTTTGAGTAGTTGAGGGTGGGGAAACAACTGTCAGTCACAGCCTGAAGTGGACATTGATTGGCTGGCTGCAGATGATCACATGACATTGCTTGTCCAATCAGTGCTGCGGGAGATTTAGTTCGCTCCGTAGTCAACGTGGGACTGTCGTGATTGTACGTTGTAAAATTTTTAAAAAATTATACTTATTTCTTGAAATTGTATTCACTTTTCTTCTGTTTTTAATAAATGTGTTTATGACTTGACTTTGTAAAAAGTCATATTTTTGTTTTTCACTAATGAAGGGTTTGGTGAATGTGCATATGAACTGGTTGGGTTCGGTACCTCTAACAAGGTTAAGGACCACTGATGTAGAGTATTTAGTTGTAATTTTTTTCCTATGGCATATTTTGAAAGCAGCTACATTGTGACTAAAAATCAAAATCCACTAATTTATTAACAAATAAATGTTTTCAAAATGGGCTAAAGACAGGTGCAGTGATATGTACACTTTGTACAATATCCCTCACAAACCTTGAAACCATGATCTTGGGATGAATGACACGTTTTCTAATTTGTTGTAATGTGTTCCACTCATTCGGGGCAGAATATTAAAAAGATTGGCCAAAAGTAAGCGTGGTCTTTGCGATGAAATGATTGACAGAATCAAATGAATTTGCCAGATCCACAAAAATATTCTCTCCTGTCTATTGAGAGATATTTCGCATGTCACGCAAACCTGATAACCACTATATTGCAGAAACAAAATACATAATGTGTCACATGAACCTGTGGTTGGCAGAGCTCGTCATAAAAACATTGCCGTTTTTCTTCATGGCAATCAATATGTGGTGTGCAGTATGCTATCGACACATGGAAATCTTGAAACATGACCAACCTTAAGACTGGGATCTCTCCTCATTATTTCCAAAATTATGTAGCAGCCAATGGAGTGTCCCACCAGGATGAGGTTTGTCTCCTTTGGGACATGCTTCCTGATGAATGTCAGCTTGTGTTCTATCTGACCGTTCAGACCAAACGTGTCCAGATCAGTCGTTGAGTCGGCATCTGTGTCAATGAACAAATAATTACAGTAGCTCACGAAAGTGAAACCACCCCTCACATTTTGTCAATAATTTCTGATACCTTTTCAAAGGGAAAACACTGAAGAAATAACACGTTGCTCCAATGTAGTCAGTGTACTGCTTGTATCAAAGTGTAAATTCAGTGGCCGCTAAAAGTTCAGTAAAATTAAGTGACCACCGTGAACCCTTTCACCAGAGTTCCCCGGGACCACACAGATTGCCACTGGAATCCTTGTCCACAACAAAACGGACAACCATGAGATCACAGAACTGATGAACGTTAGAGACCTCAAGCTCCTCCACATTCCAATTGAGGAAAGCTCATGGATGCTCAAAAGGGTTCACCTCCGAAGACATGCTTGTCCAGTCTCTCACTTTTAACTCCAGCTTCTTTAACAAAACTCTGGTTGTCTTGGAAGTGTGTGTCTGTTTGGCATTGTTATAATGTTGGAATACTGCCCTATGGTCAAATTTCTGAGTGGGAAACATTAAATATACCAGTCGCTACATAGTGCCGTGTAGCAACACCCATGCAAACGCCGTGTGAGAACGATAACAAACAAATTGTAACACTAACAAGTGACATGACAGTGGGGACGAGAAACAGCTCACTGGACTTTAATTTGATACTTTTTACTGTTTAATGTCACTTCAAAATAAAGTGAGAAAAGGTAAGCAGTCAAAATGTGCTGTATAATTTTTTGTACAATAACTAAAAATATATAGTGGTAAGTTACCATGATATAAAACGACCTTTATCGTGACAATTTTTTTTTTTTTTTCCATATCGCCCAGCACTACATTGGAGCATTACAAAGGTACTTGAGAATACTTCTGTTGATGGTCAGTAAACACTAAGCAAGTATACTTAAAATGTCTAAACTGCTATGAGACTAAAAATGGAAACTACCCAATGGCTATATTCTGGTATATTTACATGCATATGTTCATTAATATATACACTGTGCCATTTGATATCAAATAAATTAGGAACTAGTTTTTTAAAAGTGAATATACAGTAAATAAACAAGTATGTGGTTGGTGGGCAGGTAGCTGTTTTTTTTTTTTTTAACTCTCACTGATTGGCCACGAAGGTCCTAATCGTGTAAAGCATAAAAGTGAGTATGAATGGTAGTTTAGTTTGTCTAGTGTACTGTATATACTGTATGCCCTGTAATTGTTTCCAGGATGTATCCTGCCCCTTGCCCAATCAGCTGCAATAGACCCCCGGCTCAATTGCAACTCGGATGGGGTCAAGCGATATAGAAAATGGATGGATGGATGGATGGATGGATGGATGACAGCTAGTTGGATTGTCAACATGATAAATCTTTGACATGGAAGTTTCATCTTAGAATGAACTGATGACAGTTTCAGTGCTTCATTATGAATGAATTATTACAGAGATTTTACCTTCCACCATGTCCATGGATGCAGGAGGCGTACAGTGTCCAGCATGGCTCACAGCCCACACTGGGTGGTGGCAGCCAAACAGAGCATAAAGTGTTTGTATGAATGTTCTGTAAAATCCCACTACACCAGGGTTACCTGTATAGAGTAAAAAAAAAAAAAAAAAAAAACATACACAAATATATAAGTCAGTTGGGTTAGGCTTCAGCATGCCCGCAACCCTCGTGAGTACTACAGATGGATGATGGATGGATAGGTAAATAATTCTTAATAATGTGCAGTCTTTCATCAGGCTTGGAACTGAAAAGTCCTGTCTCAACCTGGTATTAAATGGACAGTAGTTTTAGTACAATCACTGGTGAAGACTGAGTAATATGCGAATAAAAATGCAAGACTATAGTTTGTTTACCTTTGATCGTAACAGGAGGATTGACGTTTAATAATTAGCACAGAAAGTAAAGATGGCCACAAGAAAACACAATGATGATGATGATGCCAACTCACCAGGAATAACTAAAACAAGAACTTTATGTCCAGTGTGTAAGTAAGGAGGGCCACATCTTAGAACCTCTGTGATGGCTCCATAGCAATAGATGAAATCCGTTTGTGCTGCACCACCACTCTCCGCGTTTTCCATCTCATCTTAGAAAAAGAAAAAAAATGTATCGCTACACACTGTAAACCACGTTAACATCGTAAACAAAAGCACACATACCAATATCTAAATCAGGCATTTCACCGTGTCTTCAAATTACTCGTGCAGATTGGCAGCAGGGTACAAAAGGTTCACTCCACGTCAAAGGACAGGTGATAAGAAAATGCACGAGCAGCTTTAATGCTGATCCAACAAAAAAAATCATTTTCTCATTCGCCTACATCGTCGTATTGAAATTGTAGTTTGGATACAAAATAGTACCCCAAAAAAGTGGTGATGAAAGTTGAACATTAGGAGATGAGGCAAAAAAAAATCAGCGCAAACTAAATGAGTGAATTTCAAACAGCATAATTTTGAAATGCTAATTCGCGGCTGGAGTTTGTTGTTATTTACGAGATTCCTATTTTATTGGACATAGTTCGATTGATAGTTGTTAGATTGAGAGTGTAATATAAATTAAAAACACAACATAAAGAAAGACACTGATTCCTTCTTCTTACCGGTGCAGTACCAATGGATTTACACTGCGAAATAACTTCCGCCTTCATATTTTCCTGGACTGTGATTGGTAGTTCAATCAATACACGTTCTATGACGCTTGCGCGTTCTGATAGCGCGCATGCGTAGAAGGTCGGCCATGATTGCTGCAAACTACGGCAAGTACAGTACACTGTTCAAAATGTGTACGGAATCCTCAATTAAGTTTGGGGTGCGGGTTCATACAATAATGTCGAATAAACGTACTCATAGAATGCAATGTGGGCCTGCACCGCTAATATATTTTCATGACCTTATTATTAGGTTATTCTAAAAGAGTGCACAAAAGAATGTAGAGTTGAAATTAGGACGAAATACCCAACTCTACCCATATTAATAAAGTAGAGACAAGGTTTCAAGCAAACTATGTTTGTTTTTCGTAATTTGACAACTATAAAAAAATTTTATCTCAGAAAATCAAAATAAGGATTGATATCTTTCAAATTTTTATTAGACAAAACCAGCATGCACTCATTTACCATAAAGCATGAGAATTACAAACTGAGCACACAAGCAACATTCATAGAACTGTATCAAAAAAAGGCCTTACAAAAATTATCTTCTTTGGTAATATGCGTTGTTAGGTTTTTCGTCCGAATTCAAACTAATTGCTTTCGTGTGTTAATATAACTTAATTTTTAAAGATAATGAAAATACTGTATTACGACAAGGGTTGCGTTAGGGCGTGCGGGAGCCAATCCCAGCTGTCTTCCGGCAGTAGGCGGGAGACACCCTGAAGTGGTTGCCAGCCAATCGCAGGTCCTACATAGACATACAACCATCCGCGCTCACACCTACGGACAATTTAGAGTGTCCAATTAACCTCCCATGCATTTTCTTGGAATGTGGGAGTAAACCTGAGTACCCGGAAAAAATCAACAAAGGGACGTGGAGAACTTGTAAACTCCACACAGCTAGGTCGAAACCGGAATCAAACCCTATACCTCTGCACTGTGAGGCCTGTGCTTGTAGAAAAGCATCTCGTCAGCCCCCTGCAGGTCTGCTTCGGGCACTACCGGCACCGTCTTCCCCATGGTCACATACAGTATATCCCTTAACCTCATGACCGATCTTCCCACCTCACAAGGTAAATCGGTCATTCTCAACTTCCCCTCAATGCACCCGTCAAAACCACGTGGTCCGCCAGCGGGCAACCGTTGAGGGAGGGGCGTGGGGATGGTTCTGCAATTATTTTGATGTTATGTCTGTTTTAGTTGCAGTTCTTGCTGGAGTGGAGGGCGTTCCTTCCAGCAGCGCACCTGTGATGAATTACAATCAAAGGGCTGAATCACGACTCCTACTCCAACGCTGTCAGATTATTCGCCTAACTCACGACTCTTGTACCAAGTGCTAAATCTCTCGACACTCATGACTTTGTTGTTTCTGCTCTTTGCTTGTGGAGGCTCTCAGTCGTACAGGAAAGTTCCATCGTAGAAAGGGTTCTGTCAGTCGTCATCTGTACCTGTGGGTAAAAAACAAAAAACAAAAAATGACGTTTCGCTTCTCTCACAGAAGCTTCGTCAGCGGTAGACAACCCTGAAGTCTCCGTGAAGACTCCGGGAAATTGCTCTGCGCTAAAAAGCTGAGCGTGGCCTATTTGAGGACTGGGTGGGGATGGTTAGTCACGCCCCTATGGTGAAGAGGCCCATTGATTTCTAAATTCCCTATCGTTGGGTCTTGATTAGGCCTATTGTTTGGGCTCGGGCTGAATAGCTACTTTCAGTTAGCCTGATCAGCATGTCTATGTCCCTTGGTGGTCAACAAGTTATTGTAAATAGGAGACAGATTAAATCTGATACCTCCTTCACGGTTCAGA